CAGAAAACAACCCTGTTTCCTTAACTTATCACGTCTGAATCTGCAGACTAAACCTGTTGATCCCACTGTGGAAGGAGGTGCTCAGGTACAGCAGATTGTAAATATTGAGTGTATATCAGACTTCATGGAAGCACCAGCCTTAAACATTCAGTTCAGGTACGGTTCTTTAAGTTTGAACATTGTTTCCCATTTAAATGCATGTCTAGAGGACTGTCTGCAGTAATCCATTTCCATGAACACAAAAAAGTGTATTTTATGACCTTAAAGATTAGCTTATTGATGATGGCATAAACTTTTGTGGCTAGTGCCCTTCAGATATATAAAGCATAATCCTGGATTTCTTTTTGGGGTGGGGGTTGAGCAAACATTTGAAAAAAAAGAAATGAAAGAGAAACAAAAGAGTAAGTTAACTATATTAGCAGCAGCTATCCACAAAACGTGATGGTTCTGCCACAGGAATTATTTGAAGGGATTAATATTGTTATCCTTTATTTCTGCTTCGTACATGGGCAAATTAAACTGTTTGATGAATTTTAGTTGAGCTATTTCATGAGGAAACAGGCTTGAAATTATTTTGTACAAGAATAGTCTTGAGGCCTCTCCACATTCTTCTCATGACTGCTATTTATCACACTGCCATTTTTAAAGTAAGTAGGTACCACTGTCTACATCTACTCCTTTCATTTCCCTCTTAATTTATTATCCCCCATGTCCTTCCACTACTGGAATATTCTGTTCACTTTGGATTCTCCTTCATCTCTTGGCGCATACCCTACGAAACCTTCTGCCAGCAGGTGACATCTTGGAAGCACAGAATCTGATTGTTTGGTCTGATTATTTAGACAGGGCCTGCTAAGAGTGCTTACTCCTTGCATGGTTCATGGATGGACAGGATGGCTGTCCTTCTCAATGATGGCCTCCTGTTTTGTGGGAAATCTCTCTCCTGGAGATACATGAATTTCACTTTTTATAAGCAAGTGAAAAGCATCCTCTTCCAATGTGCCTTCAGTTGAGATGACTAGGATCAGAAAAGTACTTTGCTTACCATGCGGATTTTAAATTTTGTATTGTATGCCACCTGTTATTTGGAAGTGGAGAGCTGAGGGTCCAGTTTGGGACTATTGCTACTGAGATACTTATTTAAAATAATAATCTGCTTTTTTTTAGGGAGGACAGGTAATGATATTATTTTAAAAGGTGTAATTGGGTCAAATGGTTTAAGAACCATAGCGCATGAAAAAAGGAAAGAACATTTGGATGAATTGTGTGTGCATCTAAATCAGGAGTGTCAAACTCAATTTCATTGAGGGCTGCATCAGCATTGCGGTTGCCCTTGGGGGCCCGAGTGGGTGTGGCCAGGGTGGGTGCGGCCTACTGGGTGGGCATGGATGGAGTGGGTGTGGCCTACTGGGTGGGCATGGCCAGCTCTACATTGTTCGCATCAAGGGTGCCTGTGGGGGCCTGGGTAGGAATGGGACAGATCTGAGGGTCTCTGGCAGAAGGGGGTGGGACCGGGGCAAGCGCCAAGGCATGGTGCATTTCTTCATTCCTCACAAAGGGTGACACCTCCCCAGCATGCACCCAGGGGGCGGGGCCAATGCGGCAGGGGCTGGTTCCTCGCTGTTTCTGGACAGCCTTGTGGAGCTAAGACTGAATGCATTTCAGCATAGATGGCCACCACAAAATTATACATTGGCTCCTGGCGGGCCAGGGCCAAGGCAGCAGGGGCCGTTCCCTCACTGTTTCCAGGATGGCTTCGCGGGCCACATGAAACCACTTCGCAGGCCCCTGGGCCTTGTGTTTGACATGTCTGATCTAGATTGTTTAGATTTTCTCCAAAAGTTTGTCATTGTCATTTCCAGATATGGAGGAACTTTACAAAATATCTCCGTGAAGCTACCTATCACATTGAACAAATTTTTCCAGCCTACAGAAATGGCTGCTAATGACTTCTTCCAGAGATGGAAACAACTGAGCAAGTAAAATTATTTTGATCTTGCATGTCCTTAATTACTATATACTATATTACTTTTTCCAGATTGTTACTTGTTTTTTGGTGAATACTGCCACCTAACTTAAATGAAAAGGGGACCTCTTTAGATGTAAATTCATGAAGGAGAATATTTGTAGCTCAGGGTTGATATGAGGGGTCCTTGGTGCTCTCTGAACTTGATCGTTTCTTGCAGATATTTCATTACCCAAACTAAGTAACATCATCATGTTGATGAACATGATGATGTTACCTAGTTTGGATAAAGAAACGTGTGCAAGGAAACAGCCAAGCTCAGAGAGCACCAAGGATCCCTTGTAAATTCATGAGTTGTTTCTGTAGGAGCCAGATTTGAAACTCAACTTCCTCTTTCTCTGCAAAGCAATTCAGTCCCACCTTTGAGTCTGTTTTTTTGACTACTTGGCCTAAGTTCTCATTAATTTAGGGCAGCGGTTCTCAACCTATGGGTCGCGACCCCATTTGGGGTCGATCGACCATTTCACGGGGGTCGCCAAGCAAGGCTGTCCGCCATTTTTCTCCCCTTTTCCGGCGGGTGCCTTACCTCCCTTGGGCTGGGCCAGCTGGTGGTCGGCCTGCTCCGTCTCTGTCGCTTGCCAGCTACGCAGGGGGCGGAACCACGCATGCGCGGCGCTCCCGGGCAGGGAAAGTCCTCGACTTACGACCGGTTGGGTATTCCTCGACTTATGACCGGTTTAGTCCTCGACTTACGACCGGTTGGGGGTCACGGCATTAAAAAGGTTGAGAACCACTGATTTAGGGAATGATTTGATATGTTATCTCTAGAAAGACCTACCATTTTGTAGCCACATGTGTTGCCTTTTCTCACTCAAGAGTTCCAACAGGCTACTGGTGGCATACTGCTCTCCAACTTCCTTCTCATCTCATTATTCTTCCTGGAAGATGAGCCCCAAACTGTGGTACTCATTTATGATACAGAGATAAGGCAAACAGAAAGAACCCTGCTACATTTGAGTGAGACATTCCAGGATAGTCTCTGTGCCTGAACTAACAGTCTATAAAGCTATGGTTTACTTTAACTTGATTGGGTATGTCACAGTGATTCACAATTAATTTCACACAACTTACTTAAAACAACTAAACTACATTAAGAATTAGCATCGTATGTGAATCCAGTGAATATCTCTTTGGTTTCTAGGATTCCAGCCTATCATAAATGTTCTCTGATGTGGCTCTTGTGTGGAATCAGTGTAAGAAAAGGGGTGAAGAGATTTAAAGAGATGCTTAAAGAGATGCTATACCAGCTGTGATATTGCAGAAATTCAGAATGTCAATATCAGAACTCACATATTCATCTATAGTTAGGAAACTCATAGATTGTCGGAAACAGAATGCTTCAATGTATTGTTCTAAGTCTAATATAATGTGGACTATTTTTAGTCTTACCTTTTAGAGGGCTAAAATTAAATATAGAATTGTTTAATAAATTGCGAGCATTATTATAGCAGAAACTAAAAAAATCTAGTCCTTCCACATGTCTGTTTATTTTTATATCAGCTGAATTCCTGGAAAATATTTGACACTTCTTCCATCTCTCTATCCATGTAGAGCAGCCTGCCTAAAGAATACCTATTTTTGGTTCATTGGTTAGCCTATGCCAGGGGTAGGCAACCTTGGCTCTTTTAGGACTCGTGGACTTTGATTCCCAGAATACCTGAGCCAGCATGGCTGGCTCAGGAATTCTGGGAGTCGAAGTCCACGAGTCATAAAAGAGCCAAGGTTGCCTACCCCTGGCCTATGCAAATCATGTAATGGAACCTAAGGCTCATTATTTAGGAGAAGAGTGCTATAAACATGCATGTAATACACTGCTACTTCTGTGTAAAATGTGTCTACGTTCTGTCATAAACATTTTGCTGCAAAAATATAATAAATATGAGCTGTTAATATCAACTCTTGATGTTCTTCATAGCCCTCAACAAGAAGTAC